AGCAGTCGGTGAGTGCACACACACAACTCCATTTGTGCAAGCAGCATGTGCATGTGCCCACCACTCGTGCAAATGCAGCTGCACATGCACACGCATGCACACCACTCACATGTAACCATTCCCTCTCCCTCCCCTCCCCCCACTGGTCTGCAAACCAGAAAAGTTGGAAAACACCATTTTAATGTCTTAATTCAGAGCTTCCCATTTTTTCCCCCTTCATTACCCAAAAAACCACTTATCAGAAAGTCTTAATACAGTTCAAGGGCCATTGTAAGTCTCTTCCTTCAGCACTGCATTGTTGGGAGAAATTCCTTGGATCCTTTTTCTTCCGAGCCCAGAAAAGAGTGCAAGCAGTCAAAACGCAAGCACAAGTATTTGGGACAGTAATTGAATCACACATCAGCAAGATTTTTATAGGGATTTGAGTCCTTTGTGAAGGAAATGTGAGTGTGATGTATGATTTTATGACTGGAGGAACGTAGAGGAAATATTTTGCTTGTTATCTCTTTTATCGGACAAGATCTTCCTCATTAAGCGTATGGTTTTTGTCATTGCCTTTTATGGGTGTGAGAGGCATAGGCATAGGTGTTAAATTCCCATGCCTTTTAAATGTGGATTGGTTACTGTACCGCACAAGGTCAAACAAATGAATAAGCAGTCATAATTAGGGGACTATATTATAAAAACAATACTATTAAATGATCTTTATGTCACTTCAACAAATTATCATCGACAATTTCATCGATTTTTGCCTTAATAGGAATAGTTAGAGAGGTTTTCAAATATGTTTTAGTACATGTGGCAATCTTTAAGTCAAATTAAATATCCCTGTTCTGATGGGTAATGGGCTCTTATGTCATTACACACAGAAAACCACTTTTACTCTATTCTGAGTAATTTAGCCAGATTGGGAACGCACTCCCTTAGCTGAAAGACACAGAAGGGCCCTTGGTGCTGTCTGAACCTGGTTGTTTTCTTGCAGATGTTGCATTACCCAAAATAGATAACATCATCAGTGCTTCTGCTGGAGAGCACCAAGGACCCCTCATTTCAATGCTGAGCTACAAATATTCTCCTTTCCTGAAAGACACTGTCACTTGGTTATCTTACTCATAAATGGATCTGCAGCCCTTCTTTTTTTACTTCTGGGTTGCTCAAAACTCCAACTTCAACCTGTAATTGAATTTATGTCAGTCCTGCCTCAACGTGAACCTTTAAGCAAGACAATCCTTGATTCCATTTGTTTAGAAAGGCATAGTTTACTAAAGGTCAAGTGATCTGCAGTAAAGCAAAGCCAGCAAATATATAACTTGGTATAACTTTTGCCTCCTAGACCAGGGGTTGTCAACCTTGGCAACTTGAAGACTTGTGGACTTCAATTCAATATCAATATTATTGATATTATGAGAAAAATGTAACAAAGATGTTGATATTCAATTGTATATTTATTAATAACAATAAGAATTGTTTTTGCCTAGTGTGGGAAATTAGGTACTACAGGAAGAAGAGAGGAAACATTTGATGGTGTAATATTGGATCTAGATTGAAAAAGTTAATATATACCACTTCATTACTAATGGACCCAGACAACACATTGTCTATTAATTATTTGATTGTAAAAATAGAAAATTAATAAAATATTTATAATAATAATAAAAGAATTACTTTCCAGCATTGTTGGAACTCTGAATGTGTCAAGCATGAAAGACCAGGACCATACGTGAAATTCCAATTAAACTGATTTATTACTACTCTTGCCTATGCACAACTACAGATAGTCCACAATTTACAAGCACAATTGAGCCCAACATTTCTGTTGCTAAGCAAGACTGTTGTTAAGCGAATTTTGCTCGATTTTACAACCTTTCTTGTCATAGTTGTTAACTGAATCATGTTAAATTAGTAACACAGTTCTTAAATGAATCTGGCTTTCCCATTGACTTTGCTTGTCGGGAGGTCACGAAGGGGGATCACCAGGACTCTGCAACGGTCCTAAGTATGACCATGGGGATGCTGAAATGGTCTTAAGTGTCAAAAATGATTATGTCACTTTTTCACTTTTTTTAAAAAAAACTTCAAATAGTCACTAAATGAATGGTTGCAACTCAAGGACCACCTTTAATGGTTAGCAGTATTTTGATATTAGATAAGAGTCAACAGCATTCCTGAGTGGTTAGACTTAGTCCATTTGTGGCTATGTAGTGATGCTAGATTTGATTCCTCTTTTGACTCTGCTCTAGGCTCTGTCACTCCTTCTACAGAATGGTTGCTAAACAAGACACCATTAAGCAAGGTCTACTGTAAAGCTTTATTTTGACTCCCCATCCACACTCTTAATTTATCTTTTCTGAATTTGACTATCTATAGGTATCCATTATCTATTTGTCTGTCTGTCTCTCTCTCTTCTATCTATCTATCTATCTATCTATCTATCTATCTATCTATCTATCTATCTATCTATCTATCTATCTATCTCTGTCTCTCTCTCTCTCTCTCTCTCTCTCTCTCTCTCTATCTATCTATCTATCTATCTATCTTCATCATCATTATCCATCATCATTATCTATCTATCTATCTATCTATCTATCTATCTATCTATCTATCTATCTATCTTCATCATCATCATTATCCATCATCATCATTATCCATCATCATCATCATTATTATCTACTTACCTACCTACCTACCTTCCTACCTGCCTGCCTGTCTACCTCTCTCTCTCTCTCTCTCTCTCTCTCTCTCTCTCTCTCTCTCTCTCTCTCTCTCTCTCTCTCTCTCTCATCTATCTACCTATCTAGATGTCGTCTCTGATGGTAAGTTGCAATATCCTTTCCTTTCATTGCTTTTTTGGATGTTTATTGACCCATAAAAATGGTAAACCATTTTGGATTTTTATTGAAAATTATCTTGTAAATATTCTTCTTCTTCTTCTTGTTGTTTTTTTTTAAAAAAGCATTTAGCTATTGACCATTTAGCAAGACAGCCATAAGTAATTCATTATGATGCACCCAGATGAAAGGGGCTACATTATTAGGACCAGAAGTGCTTATTACCACCAGCAGTCACCCAAATGGAAATTGAAGGCAAGATTGAAATAATGGAAACACTTTCCTTGCAGGGTCAATAAATAATCAAAAGCAAGTAATGGCTTTCATTGGAGGTCATGAAAGGTCCAGAGGGAAAGGAAAGGAAACATGGCTTTTGTTTTTTCTTGATAGGGTCAGTACAAAACCACATTGCTTCCCAGGCAATATGTTGATGCCAGAGTTACACTCAACTAGTTTTTGAAATCATTATCCCCTGTTCATTATTAGGATTTTTCATTCATGATCATATCGTATCCTCTAATTTATTTCCCCAAATGTGTATTCACTGCCACTGTACTGTCAAAACCAGGTCACTTTTGATGCGCTCTTGTGCATTAGCAAAGTTGGACATTCAGTTCTCTGCAGCCTTTTTCATTTCATTCTATAAATGCTTTGGATTTTACAGTGTTGGTAATTCATAGCCTTGTCATCCTCACTTTCAAACTCACTCCATTCGCTTTGTTTCCAGGAAATGAAGTATCCAGCAAGTGGCATTTTCAATAACAATGAGTGTTATTTCTAATAAGTATTTCCAGTGTTTTTATGTGTCATTCCTAGACATATAAGAAATATGATTTCATTTATGGCCAAGACAACTTGGTCCCCAATTGTGCAGTCCGCACCCACTGTGCTTCTATTTTCTGGTCTCTCCTTCCCCTGACCATCTGTTTGGTGTTCTTTTTTCCATTTTCTCTTTCTCTTTTCCAAGATCCAGTGACTTAACAGTCTTCCTTTTCCTTTAACAGTTTTATAATGCATATCTCCCTCCTCTTACTTACCTATCTACCTATTTAAATTTATAGGCCACCCAAGTCCCAATCACTCTGGACAGCTTGCATGATAAAGCAAAAGGTAATTAAAATGAAAAGAAGATATAGGTGGTCCTTGACTTACAACAGTTCGTTTGAAGTTACAACAGCAGTGAAAAAAGTGTCTTATGACTGTTTTTCACCTTTATGACCATTGCAGCATCCTCACAGTCATGTGATCAAAATTTGGACACTTGGCAACTGGCTCATACATATGACAGTTGCAGTGACCTGGGGTCATGTGATCATCCTTTGTGACTTTTTGACAAGCAAAACCAATGGGGAAGGCAGATTCACTTAATAACCGTGTTGCTGACTTAACAACTGCAGTGATTCACTTAGCAGCTTAGGTCATGAAATGAGGCAAAACTCACTCAACTGTCTTGCTTAGCAACAGAGGTTTTGGGCTCAGTTGTGATCATAAGTCCAAAACTACCTGTAATGAAAATTCTGAAGATCTGGAAGGCACAAACCTAACCCTCCAAAAAATTTCCCAAATCAAAAGCCCACAGGAGCTCAACAGCCAGCCTGCACCCCAGATCTGGAAACAGAGCTATGTTTTCAGATATCTTTGGGACAATGGCAGGGTTGAACCCATATGACTCTCTGAGGAGATTCCATTTCAGAGAATGTGGGCTTCCTAGCTTCAGATGAGACTGCCCACTCTTAATGGGTAGATTAGCACTGTTGGAGATAGATAGCCCCTCAAATAACCTAACCATAAACCAAGTTATTTGTATGACCTGACACTTTGCTTCTCCTTTCTCAAAGTAAATTATGATTAGGAAGAATTAGATTCAGGTCCTTCATAAGCCATGAAGGCCATTAGGTGGCTTCAGGAAGGTCATACCCAGCCCAGCCCAGCCCAGCCCAGTCCAGCCTATTTTGTAGGTTTTTTGTGGGAAACACTGGAGGAGGGGACACAATGCAGACCTCTTTGACCTCTTGAAGCAAAGGCCAGATATTAATAGCTACAGTACATAAATAAGCTACAAATCAATGTTCCAAGCTTATTATTCTATATTTTGTACCCACTCTCAGGTAGTATAAGATCTGTCCCTAATCCATCAGGTCTTCTTCCCTTTCCCCTTTCTTTCCCATGCAGATAGAGACTGGTTTTCACTTCCCAGATTTGTTGGAAGATTGCACCAAAAGGCAAGACAAGAAAAAATGGATGGAAACTAATCAAGTAGATAAGCAACTTAGAACTAAGGAGAAACTTCCTGACTGTGAGAACAATCAACCAGTGGAATGGCTTGCCTTCAGAAGTTGTGGTGCCCCATCACTGGAGGCTTTTAAGAAGAGACTGTCTAAAGTGGTATAGGGTCTCCTGCTTGAGCAGGGATTTGGACTAGAAGACCTCCAAGGCCAATTCTGTTATTCTATGTTCATGTTCAGGAGAATCGCAGAGATCTCCTGAACATGAAGAGATGACAACCTTGCCTAGGAATGGAGGTATCTGGACATCCCATCTGGGTTCAAGAACACAAGGAATAGCAGGTGTAGTAGCAACAAATCAGGGATTATTCTATTGCTTGTCAGCTTCCCAGCTCCATTCTTAGCTGATCATTCCCAACCTCACCCTGCCTTGGGTTGCTCTTCTCCTGTGCCACCCCCCACTGAGATTAGCAGAAATGACCACTCGTCACTAAGCAGCTCATGATGGATTTCACAGGAAGTTCCAGCTTTCTGCAAGGCTCATTAAATTGAACTGGTGCACAGAGGCCATACAGAGGTCATTGCAGACTTGCAGAAATCCTCAAATGACTATTTCCCTGAATTGTTTTGAACCGTTTGGGCTAATGGGCTATATTTTGGACTAACATTTTAATTGTACATATTTTTGAAATTTGCATCCATAGGCATGCAGAATTATATCCAAGCGGTTTTTATCTCCTTTCCTGAAATCACCTGAGAATCTTCACCCAGAGTTATGAGGATATCACCTGACAAGGACTCAGAGTTGAACTTCTCACTCCTCTATGGAGTCTCTAGTTTCTAGAAAAAAACACATAAAATACTGCTAACAAGTTTAGAACGAATCTGCCCATTGCCTTGGAGAATAAGAACAACTTTGCCTCAGGGCTTCCCTCGGAGGCATACCACATTCAGAGATTGAAAACAGCCTTCTTGCTAATCACTTGCCATTCCTCAGCACAGTGAAAGTACACAAAACAAGACTTCCAGAGTTGACACAAAGATACAGAGAGAGGAAAAGGCATTCCTGGTAGTCCTTGACTTATAACAGTTCATTAAGTGACCGTTTAAAGTTACAATGGCACTGAAAAATGTGACTTATGCCCATTTTTCACACTTACCACCATTGTAGCATCCCCATGGTCATGATCAAAATTCAGATGCTTGGCAACCGGCTCATATTTATATTGTGAGAAAAGAGAGAGGAAGGGGCAGGTAGCGTCTTCTCTTATGTAAAAATTCAAAACACAATTTTTCTAGTAACAATCAAAATATAAATGTACAAACCCTTCACTGCTAAGCCAAAGGAAATAAAATAAAACCCCACTGGAGAAAGGTGACATTTTTGAACCCTTACGCAAGCACTGCAATCTTTTGAGTTTCAGGGACCTCTGTGAGGATAAGAGTCACAATGAGGGTGTCAAAGCAATATATAGGATATTATTGCTTTGACAGAGGGGGAAAAAAACCTTCCAGGAACTTCCTTCTTATGCATAACTACACCATGCTATTTTGGGAGAATTGAATTATTACTCACGAGCTATTTACTGTACATGATGCATGAGATGTCAAACACTTTTAACAATTAAAAATACATGCTTTTGTAATTGTACTAATAGTAATAAGTGCAGGTTTAGGCTACAATTGCCCCCCCACACCTGGGTGCTAAAAATAAACAAAGCCTCTCTCCCCATTTCTGCAAATGTAATAAGCTTTTCAGTAGGATTCCAGTAGTATGTGTCCCTATACATAAGACCTACTAGCCAGAAATGCTTTGAGGTTAAGTACAGTTTGGGAAATGTTGACTATGCACATATTTTAAAAAGAGGTATTGTTATTACCACCTTTCCCCCCTCATTGTCCTTCATTTTGCTGGAAGCTGCAACTTAGCCTGTTCATACAATCAAAAAAACCCTAGGGAAAGTGGCTATTAAAATAAGTGATGATAGCATTTATGTTGATTTATCTGCTAGGCTCTGAAGTGGTATGCCACTGTGATCTACCTGGTGAATTTTGGGAAAGCTGATTTCAAAATTGCAGGAAATTGCACTAAAGAGTAATCCTGTCTCAGCCCTGTTATTTATTCATGGGTTATCATCCCAAAACTCATTGCAGATGGGGCTCTGGGATTTCACAAATTTGGCAAATCTTAACTCTTATCAGGTGGTCTGATCTGAAGGCGATTATCAGCAAAATAGAGATTATGCAAAATTGAATCTTTTATCTCTACAGAGATAATCTATATAGGTGGGATTGATGCAATGCTTGTGAAAACATAAGGCTATTAAAAGGAAAGCGAGAAGACAGAGATCTTTCATTTTCTCTAGAGTTACCTGAAGTTATGTCACAATAGGTATTAGCACCTTGCTGAACTTGATTGAGCTTGAAAAAAGTGAGCAGGCTCAGACAAGGAGCCAATCAGACTTAGATAAGAAGCTACCAGTGAATTTCAAGATTGCGGGTTAGACTAAGAAGTTTTTGGGAAGTTTAGAACTGGCAAGCTAGCAGTATCATTCCTAAGAAAACCATATTTTTGCTGACTGCAATTGGCAGCAGGGTTTCTCAACTTTAGCAATTTTAAGAAGTATGGACCTCAACTTCTAGAATTCCCCAGCCAGCATGCGTTTCATGGGACAAATCCAAATATCAGGCATTCAATTAAAGTTTGATTTTATTTATTTATATTCCATCATTATTATTTTTACAAATCACTCAAGATGGCAAACATATGCAACAGATCTTCCTCCTCCTATTTTCCCCACAGCAACAACCCTGTGAAGTTGCATCACACTTGTGTTAGAACTACAGAGGCACTTCCAAGTTGAAAGGCTTAGCCAATGACATCACCATTGTGTGTGTGTGTGTGTGTGTGTGTGTGTTTCCCCAGTTGGGGTCTTCTTTCATGTCCGTGGCAGGAGATGGAGCAAAGGATGGGAGTTTACCCCACCTGCAATTGCATTGCATCGAATTCATTGCCACTGTATGCAATGAACTTTCATTTTAATGTATGCCAATTAATGTACATTCAAAGTGACAATAAAATTATTATTCTATTCTATTCTATCACCCCCAAGCAATGTTATGCAACAGTTGAGTGGCTTGAGACACAAAGTAAAATATCTAATCCACTTAAAAAACAGGCAGTATTTAATTTTTGCATCATTATGATTAAATAGCAATAGTTAGAAGCCCCATTCACTAAAGTAAATCAGATACAGGCTGGAATCAATAATGGCATTTTTAAATCTAGCAAATTTATTATAGCTTCAATGTTTATGATTTTAGGAGGCTATAATCCTTGAAAGTTTGTGTTAGCTAATCTTTAGATTCTTTTGCTGTTTCTGGAATAAATCAGAATCACCTTGAATGTTCCCCATTGCACTCCAGAAGCAACCTGTTCAGAAAAACAGGGCATAAACTAAATCATTTTTACCCGTTGCCATATTTTATTCATGTCCTGTTCAAGTGCATGTAATTTCTTATTTTTAGTCTAGTTTTCCATGGGTGGGAGAAACCTTTCCTAGCTTATTATCCCCATGTCACCCCAGAGATCAGCAAATACTTAGCTCAGTATTTTTCAACCTTGGCAACTTTGAGATGTGTGGACCTCAACTTCCAGAACTGGCTGGGGAGTTCTAGGATTTTGAAGTCCACACATTTCAGAGCTGCTGAGGTTAAGAAACTCTGGCTTAGCTGCACGACTTGAACACTCTTTGAAATGTCCTACAGTATTTGTTCTAGCCCTTAAGAGCAACGGTAGTGGAAAAAAAAAAGGAGACGGGTGAATGCATGGAATAATAAAATGTGATCAAACTCCTCTTTCTGACTGGCAGCTGCTGTTTTGTTTTCATTGCTCTTTATTTGCTGCAGTAAAGATGCACAGCAAGTTAACCAGGTTCAGCTTTCCAGCCCAGCCACTGAAACAACAGTGCAAGAAATGAAGTCAAGCACTTAGCTGGGCTATTTTTGATGAAGATCTGCTATCCCCCAACAGTGCCCTCCTGGCTTTTCCACTCTGTTAGTATCTGCAGATTGAATATGTGATTGTTATGTCCCGAGCCTTGCAAACGGCTCGGGCGTTTGCAGGCAGTCCCGGGCAGGTGCAAAGCTGCCCGGGACCAGACAGGCTGTCGCCAGCGCCGTGCGCATGCGCGGGTGCTGGCGCGGGAAAAGTAACCCATTTACCCGGGAGTTGCCTATATAAGAGGCTGCGAGGCGTTTGGGCGAGGCTGAAGCCATCTTCCTGTAAGCTGAACGCTGAATAAATGAAACTGAGAACTCCAGCTGCTTCTCGTGTCTGTTTTCCCGCCACGGACTCAACACTGGCGACGAGGATGGGATGCCTTGCACTACCTGGAAAGGAAGAAGTGTAAGCTTACCCAAGGAGTCCTGAGCGGCGAAAGAGGAACGGCGTCGACTCGGCAGCTGCCCGCCATCCGGTGCGCATTCGGGGGTAGGCTGGCTGATAGACCCGTCTCCTGAAGATCCGAAGATGGCGAAAATCGAAAGGCTTTCGGAATTCGACGTCTCACATCCAGAGCGGTGGGAGTCCTACGTATCCAGAATGGAGAACTACTTCAAGGCAAACCAAGTGAGGGAAGATAGCTTGAAGGCGGCCACCCTGCTTTGCGTTTGCGGCCAAGACGCCTTCGAAATCGCAGAAACCTTGCAGCACCTGTCCCAGTAGAGTCTGTAAGCTACGCAGACCTGAAGAAGCTGCTGAAGGAGCATTTCCATCCCAAGGTGTCCGTTATCTCATGGCGCCACCCCTTCGAACAAAGGGATCAACGGTCCGGTGAGTCAGCCAAGGAATACATCGCCGCGTTACGGAAGGCCGCCAAGCCCTGCGAGTTCAAGGACCTCGAGGAACGACTGAGGGACCGATTCGTGTGCGGGTTAAGGCATCGCGAGCTACAACAGAGACTTTTCGCAAATGAAGAATTATCCTTCCAAGACGCCTTAAGGGAAGTCACTG